ACTAACTATTTAGGTATTAGGTTCATGCAAGTAGAAACCTAGCTAAACATCTGTCCAGCAATGGTATTTCTGCGCTCCCCATCATGCTCACGTCTATCACTCTCCATTTTAGAGACGTGCATTATGTCATATAAGGACACAGTGTACCTGATTCAGAGCCTGTGCTCCCAGTTGGGCTGGGAAAGAAAGCCTGTGCTAGTGTGGTTTGGGTTTTTTTATGAAAAGAGGGGGAAAAAAAAAATCATCAAAATATCTTTCTCATGACTCATAGCTCTGCCCTGACATCCTTCCTCTGCTCCCACCCAGCACCCCATGGGGAGGTATTTTCTGCCTCCTATAGGGCTGGACACAGGCTGCCCACCACTCACCTCAGACCCAGCAAAGCCACTGATGCTGAAAGAACTGCTTGCTCTAAATACCCTCACTATTTTCTTCTTAACAAAAAGATAAAGCCATAATTTTACGGAAAATGTATGCAGGAAGAGAAGGATTTGATTTTCTGAATGCAGAAAGAGTCAAGCTCCCTTGTGGAATTTAAATATACCTATTTGATGGCTTTCCTTTTTTTTTTTTGCCCGACCCTCTCAACATTTCAGCACATGAATAATTGTACTCATATAAACAAAATGGGCTCCTTCATGGATGAAACGCACACAAGAGATGTGTACCATTAAAATGCTATTTAATCTATTTTAAGGGTTTCTGAAAGACTGAAGGGTACACAGGCATGGTACCCTACGGGAGAGGATCAATGTCACTGCCAGTGCAATGAAGTTACTTTTGTGCCTAAGTGGCTGCAGGATGAGAATCTGATTATAAAAGAAATGACCACTAACAACAATATGCTCAATGCCCTCATTGTACCCATTTGATTTTCATATTCCCAGTTGTTACAGCCATGCACATGGATGCAACTCTGCCTGCAACAGCTGGCTTGGCAGCATGAGAAATCTGGCCTGTTGAATCTAGATGACCAATTTTGGCAAAAAATATCTGGGATATTAAAGAGGACATGGGGTGCCTTTCCTTTAAAAAGACCCAACCCAAATTTCAGACAATTTAACAACCATAGTAAAAAGTAGCTCAAGTCAGTCATTAGACCTCAAAGGGATCCCTGAATTGTGCTGCTCTTAATGAATTCAATAATCGATTCTTACTAGACAAATAAGGTGTGGGATGGATCAGCTAATAAGCATTCTCAGTTAATTGCTTTCTTCAAGTGACAATTTGCACAAATGATACCATCAAAGTAGTAATAATATCCTTATTGATTAAATTAATCTCTAGAAGACAACTGAAATAAGTTTAATTAGCAATGCATGACAGAAGTGCAAAATACTCTGAAAACAACCTTGTAACCCACCCCATACTTTGAAATCACGGCAACAGCCATGCAATAGACTTTTGCATCTTTATTCAAATAGGCATGTGCAATTTTATGGAGCATCTTTAGTGAATGTCTGTGACTAACCATGAAAATCCATTGAACCCTCCCTGCAGAGAAAAAGCAAGACAAGCAGCAAAATCAGTCTTCCCACTTAGTCACACAGTCACTGAAAGCCAGGGCCAGAAACAGTTTTTTAAAAAAAAGAAAGATTTTCAACACAAGGAGCAGAGATGGTCAGAGAAGCCTCTGCGCCAAAACTCACATGTAGGGCTGGTGGGGAGCCAGAGCAGCATCAATGCATTCAAGCTGTGGAAACTGGACACCAGGTTTATAACTCAGAGAGAAACTCGTTCAGTACAGCAAAGGGTTAAAAGAGTTGGCTCAAAGCTTGTTCAGAGAGTGCAGGTTATTCTTTCCAGGCCCAACAGCAGAAGCCAGGCCCAGGGAAGGGGCCAGGCTGTGGTCCACAGCCCCCGCACGCTCCCCACAATGGCAGTGGGAGCCTGAAGCAACTCTTGCTCTCCCCATTGCTACAGCAAGACCGAGACCAGGCATGAGATGTCTCCGGCTGCAGCAGCTTCACCAGCCAGGCATGAGGATGAGATTTCCACAAACCTCTGCTGGGGGGAGTTACTAACGCAGGAACAGATCAAACGTTTGGTCCTTGTGGCTGTCACAGTGAGACAGACCTGGCACTACTATAATTTGATTGCAAGGCACGCTTGGGCAGGGGGTGGGGGTGAGGGAAAAAAAGCACGTTAAAAATCTCTCCATTGAAATATTAGCCTAGACTGCCTTGCTTAGCAAACACTTCTCTGCTCTCTGCTAAGAAAAGGGGAATTTGACTCAATTCTGCCTCCAGAAGTGAAGTAGTGGACATCAGGGACAGGAGGAGTGAATAAGCACAACCTTCTGGAGACACTCCAGTGTGATAAAAGAAAACACAGTAATACAGAGAACAGCGTGTTCCCCTTGTCAGGGCCAAAGCTACCCCGCAAGCAGAACAGGAATTAGCCTGGGGCAGCAACATGCATAACAGCTTTATTACTATTATCTGAGCGATCCGAGGATGCTTCCCAGCACGTACAGGAGAGCAGCGAGCCCAGAGCCACCTCTGTGCATGTAACAGGTTTTTATTTTTCTAAGTGGCTCAGGCAGGAACTTTCTCATTCAGCTAACTGAATTCAGCAACTGAAAGAAACATACGGCCCATGTATTTCACAACACAGAGGTACAGTACAGCTTATTTTAGAATATCTGAAGCATATTAATAAAACAAGACTCTTGTGTAGCATATGGCCTTGGCCCCTCTAGGTTAGGACAGCCCGACCTTCTCAATTATTTATTTCATTTTGTTATTCAGATTACTTGCGTTTAATTTTACTGTAATATAGTTAGCTTGTGCCTTTCCCTGAAACACTGTAATTCTTCCACGTCCTTCTTGTAGCCTCAATGGGTTTGTTGCTTCCTTTTTGTTCTTTGAGCATTTTTGCTAATACAATAATTTAATGTTTAAAAAATGCCATATGATTATCAGAAAAACAATGTAATCTGCACCATCATCAAAAAGAAAATAAATACTTTCTGCATTTATTTTCATCCAAGAATCACCGAAACAAACAACAAACCACACCAAATTACTTTTCCGACTACAGACAGCCGCTTATCAGGCAAAACAGCAAAACACCTACAAAAAGCCTAATATTTTCCTATTCAAGTTGATCCTTTAAAACAATTTCTTTACTATTAAAGAGCCCTACATTACTGGTAACGTGATATGGCTGTGACAGACCCCAGCCATGGCAGACTGCAAGTGCATGAGGAAGGGCTGGCAACCTTTGTACATCAGGATGATTAAAAACAGATACATCCACCGGAGACCCGACATCTGCTCGAATCCGTAACAACTCTCTGCTCCCTTACACACACAACAACTAGCCTTGGATAAACTATTTATAACTGAAACCTTACAATGAAGTGGAACTCAAATATCTGGCAATCGCAGACACACCGCCTCCAGGAATGCTCTCCATATGAGCTACCTGACTCGCACACACAACAGCCAACGTATATTAAATGGGACTGACGTGCTATGAGCTCTTGGTCCCTAAGTAAGACACTTGCACAGAAAATTATTTTTGGAGCTCAGGAATCTTTAAAAATCTACTTTCTACATAGCCTTACAAGGTGGATTTCCTAAGTATTTTGACTCTCAAAACCATCAATATTTTTAAACCTTGACCAGAACACACAGTGCACGAGTGTACAAACAGCAGGGAAACATACAGGTTAGAAACTCAAGCTTGGGAAAGTCACTTGGGGAAGAGAGGGATTATTTTTTTCCAAAAGGGTTATTAGATAGCTTTTCTAAAAAGTTCAGCATGTGAAAAAGAAGACAACATATGCTCATCACTTGTCCCTGAGACAGCCATCTCATTTTTCCAGTTGAGAAGCCATTCTTCCATGAAATCCCCTCAAAACCTAGCAGATGGGTTGAATTACTAATTGTGAGGCGACTAGTTCCACAATGGTATTATTAAAAAATCCCACAAACAAACGAATAAGGATAGTTACAAAAGAAGTTTAGTTTAAAGTGGGATCTCTCTAGACCCGAGAAGCAAGCTGCATGATGACGTGCAATAATTACTTCATATGGAGAAGAGCTATGTGGCATACTGAAATCCTTTAATTTCTATTCCCTTTTCTCAAGTGAGATTATTGCTCCCTGTAGCAAATAACAATAGATTTCTTAAGTTTCTTCCGATTTGCCAGCAAAGCAAATATCCTCTGGTAAATCTATGAAGTGAACAATGATTTTTCATTTTTACAACAGCACAGTCAATTCAATTTTCCAGTTAGAAGTCTCAAGCCTCTCTCTATCAGCTTGTTAACGTACAAGTGCTGTACTCTAAAGCATGCCTGGAAGAATCTCCATAGACTTTACCATCCCAAGTTGCTTCTGAACATTGAATTCATTGCTTATGAATCACTTCACTGTATGTAAACACTTGAATCACTAAGCCACATCTAATATTGTAGATAGTAATCAAGTGATGCTGTCACAGTGGATTCTGTAACAACGAATGTCTGCGCGGGTGCACTGAGGCAGCTCTAAAAACATGGCTATTAGCGTTCTGCTTTTAAAAGAAGGTTTTGCCTGTTTGTGAACGTATTTTATTTGCAAATCCTAAATGCCTGTAAAATACTTTCAGGCTTTGTGTCTTCTTGAGATACTCACAAGAGTCCAACTGGCCTCCCCCGACTGTTCACATGACAAAAATGGCACAGTATTTTTCCTGGTATTTAAGATACCTATAACTTAGAGCATCGGTATGACAACACGACCAGGGCCTGATTAAGTTAGCATTCCATTTCATCTTGGTAGCTTTTTGCATCAGGTCAGACAGACAAAAATTCAAGGGAAAAAAACTAAACTCACTCCTAAAAGCAAGTAATTTTCCCCCCTTAAACTTAAAGTAAAACACTATAAACCACATCAATGCTCAGTTTCCCTGAAGCATTCTCATAACTGTTCATGATAACTTATTAAAGTGTTGCTTTGGGTTCCTTAAATACTGTTAGGTGCAATTTTTCTCGCAAATGTGTCACAAACCTTGATGCCAAGCTCTATGTTCTCCCCTCCGTACACATCCATTCCAGGATCGAGAAGCCCGATCTCTCCAAAGAATTTTCTGTGCACAACAAATGAGCAACCGATCATTGCTGGCGTCCTGTATGAAGAGAAAAACAACAGAAATGCACAATTATTGACATTTTCTGATTTTTAATGGACAGAGGGATAATTTCTGCAAAGGTCCTGTTGGCTCCGCATGCTTCCTGCCACCATTTATCCCAGGGACTTTGCAGCAATGAGTGAGCTCTGTGCCTTTGAAAACATCATTTTACCACTGCCACAAAATTGTTCAAAATTCAAGTTCATTTCACTGTGTAGAATGGAGAAAGAGTTCTCCTAGGATTAAATTACTGAAAAGCTTTCAGGTCTTGGCTCTGTCCCAAACACTTCGGTGTGTCTATTCCCCATAAGCGAAGGGAAAGTAATAATGGTATTTCCTTTCTCTTACTTTCTTTTAGCGTGTCTAGTTACGGAGTAGACTTCAGGACAGACACCACTTTTTACAGTATCCTGTGGAACAGGGTTTCTGATTGGGATCTTCGTAATATATCACAAAGGAGTCATCACCAAGCAGCAACAACAAGCTAAATTGCAAATTTGCAGAGGAAAATCCTTTAAAAACTCAAGACAATGGTTTGCAGAAACAACCGCTGTGTCATTTGCCCAGTTCCACCAACATCGACAGGGCTCTGGGTTAGACCCATTCATGTCCATTCTGCAAAACCTCATGCCCTCCAGCTAACAGTGCTGCTCAGTGCCACCTCTGCAAGAGCAGCCAAGCACAGTGTCCAGTCAGTGAAAATAATAGAGAAAAATGACAAATATACTAACAATACTGACATCAATAGAACAGCAGAAAGATTGAGGAAAACCTCAGTGTCAGGGGTTAATTTATAATAACTATGCAATTTCAAGGACGTAATAGATGGTTGTGTTTACTAATGACCCTGGCTGCAATGTGCACATGCACCATCTCTCCCTCATTATCTCGCAAAACACTGGACCAGATCTCCATCTGATACAGCTGCCCTGAGATGAGGATGCTGTTCTGATTCACACAAGCTGAGATCACATTTGGGGGTATTTTTTGAGTGGTTAAACACTTGTGACCCTCTCCATAAAATGAGACTTCACCACAGAGCACAGCACCGAACAAAACCGTATCATTATGCTCTTGCTGCTTGGGGACACACTAATCTGTTGCAGTTACGGTATCTAGGAAGTTTACCCCTTGGGATATTTTCCGTACTAGAACAGAAATATAAAAACCATTTTCCCATTTAACTGGTTTTCATTTGAATCCATGCTGTAAAGAAAAAAAAAAACCACAAGGATCAACTTAGAGGGATCAGCCTTTTGCCAAGGTACTGACAGAGTCCGCTCTTATGGAGAGCTACGGGATATCCCCCCTGCCATCCTGAGCTCAAAGCTTTGAGCAGGAGGAAGCTCCACCATGAAGGATGGGACAGCTGTCACCTCTGCTGCTCCTCACCTGGGCTCAGGGGACACCTGTCTTGTGCTGCCTGGGAAAGACTTGCAGGGTGTAACACCAACGGTAGCCCACGTACATGGAAGTCTCACAACACTTAGAAATGCCTGTTCTTCCAAGGGAAACTGGTCTTAAGGTAGAAATGGGGCAATGGGATCATACACTTTAATCCGAAGCCCCAAAATCCTGGCTCAAAGCACATTTCACAACTTGTCCATGCTGTGGAGCATGTTCAAGGCTGAACTAAGCAGTTACGGCTTGCAGAGGTGGAAAGCAGCCTCGAATATACCCAGAAACAGCTTACAGAGAGCAAGGATCAGGCCCACGCTTCATCTCTCCATCCACCCCACACAAAATGCCCGTATCTGCCAGAGGAGCATCTGGGGTCCCCAGTGCAAAAATGGCAGCCACAGGGCTCAAAAACCTCCAAGGACCTTACAGCTCAGCTCTGCTGACAGCCAGCCAAATTAATCTTTGTGAAATCCTTGAGCTCCTTGGATGAAAGATTCTAGCCACTTTAAGTATTATTATTTATAGACATTTTAATACTTTTAATAGACTGGTAGAACAGCTGAACACTGCTGCCATATTAAATTAGTTAGAAGTGGAAGCCATCAGAGGGTTTTTTTCAATAGATTTCTTCCCTGACAGCAAGCTCGGCCTTCCTTCCAATAAGCGGTATAATGTTTCATGGTTTGCTGCCACTCTAGTACTTAAGATTTCAATTCTATTGCTTTATTTGTAGCAAGTTAACTACCATTAGCAGAAACAATTCCTTATGAAATGATAACCACATTATAGATGCCAAATCTAATAGCTCTATTATCCTAGATTACCTCCTGGAATTAAATAGAAGGGTAAGTTGCTCAGGTTTTACATGAAGCATGAACAACCCAGTTCATCTCCTCCACTGGGAACAGGTGTGGTGGAGCACGGAAACCTTTGACTTCTCCAGTCAAAACCTGTTAGGCCCTTTAAAGGCACCCAGAGAACAGCTAAAGCCAGAAAAAAATCCAGGTGAAAGTTTCAGAGAAGTGAAACTGCATTTTGTGAGCCAACAATGAGGATGACTGGGAACTCACCACCAAATAAACAAGTGTTCTGAACTGGAAGCTACTTAACAGTCATGCACGGGAGCTGTACCCTAAGAAAGCTTTTTTCGTTATTATTTTGCAACATGACTTTTACTATAGAGACCACAGAGGCACCAGTCCTTTCCAAAATGCTCTTGGAAACAGCTTGATTGGGATTTTGCAACTTCACCTTCAAATTTTCCTCTTCATTTTGCTGCACATTCCGTTTTCAACACACAACACTGTGAAGCATGCAAAGCAGCGCTCCCGAGCGGATCTGAAGTCCCTCAAGCAATACAAATTAAGTGCTACATTCTTCTCTGCAACAATGCCTCCATATTAAATAAATGAGGAATCAAGCGGCGCTCAACAATTTAAATAAAAACACCATTTGATTTTGTAGTAAATCCTTCAAAAAGGTGGACGTTTACAATAATAGATAGCCCATCCACAATGAAATAATGGCCTGCAGACAAAGAGCTGATAAAGCCTCTTGTTCCTCTGCCCCTTAATTAAAAGCATTAACACAGTTTGTTTTTAAAAACCACACAGCTCAGCTCAGCTAAATGCATTTTTATTTGTCCCGATAGCTATTCTTTCTTTAATGAGAAAGGAAAAGCAGAATTTGGCAGGAAAGGATGAACAGAGATGTTTAGCAGAATTATTGGGTTTGTATCCAGAAATTCAGAGTGTTAGTTCCTTGCCATTATTTTGGTTGGCTCCTCTATACAATAAGCGATGAAAGGTCGAGAAGAGCAGCTTTTATGAAATATCCTCAGCATGAATCTCTAAACAAAGATGAAGAAGATACAGGGAAAAAACGTTTATCCTAGTCTATTAAGTTACTTTAATGGTCTTCCTTTCTTTAGTGCACAGTTATCATCTAATGATTAAAAAGTCTCAAGTAGATTGCTTCTTCAATTCAAGGAAATTAATTTTCCTACACAATTGGATTTTGCTTCCAATTTTACACTAAAGCGTAAGTTATAAAATATGTAGAAAAAAAGATATTAAAAAAATAATTAGTGGTCGTACCACTGAGCGCAAGAAGGCTGAGAATATACTTTAAGAACTGCTGGGGTGTCCAGTTTCCATTAAACTGCTGTTGTTTCTAATAAACTTCAATCACGGAGTTGCTCACCTTCAACAGCACAAATCCCACTGCTTTAAGAGACACAGCACCACATTTAGCACGTGTGGGATGGTCCTTCACCCACCCAGAAAGGCGTTACTGTCCCTCTCCCAGACTTGCCGTTCCTAATTTAACATACCAAATTCAAACATTTTATTTTCCATTTTGAGATTTCAGAGTTGTCCAAAACATGCACAATTTCCCACTTCCGCTGCCTGTCTGCACCTCCACGTTTCAGCTGGGGGTCACTGGTGGAAGCCAGCATCTCAGCAGGGAACACTGGAAGACTCTGAGTGCCATGGCTTAAATTTAACCAAGTATAAAATTTCAGTTAAATTATCAATTTAAGTCAAATTAAGCCTGTGGCTTTTAATAGTGGCCTATCAATTTTTTCCCTCATGATCCCAGGGTAAGGAAGAACACCATCTTTATTTTTATATGACACTCCAAGATAAAACACTTGATTTTCTTTTGGACACAGATGAAATTAAGGATCTGATTTGCAAACTAAAACAACCGTCAGTGCCATCACCTCTGTTCTTCTGCATTTGTGGCACAGTGAACATTGCAGAATAAATAAAGACTGGGATGAGTAACACAGGTTTATAGGAAGAGAACACATGTGTAGAAGTTAAACACAAGTATGTGGCATTAAGGACTGACCCCTCTGGTCATAGCACAGGGTTCATCAGACCCTGCCCACAGGCAGCAGACCTCGATGAGGCAAAGACCCTGCAAAACCCTTTGCTCCACTGGCAACAAGCTCTGTCCCAGGGGCTCAGGGACTGCTCCGCCTTGCAAGGGGCCTGCAGGCTGGAGCCCTCCCGCTCCAGCTGCCTTCCTGGCTGGTCCAGCTCACTGTGGAACATGCACCAGAGCAGGATTGTTATGGGGTGCATGATGGCAGAGGGGCAGCATCTCTGCCAAGTGCTCCAAGGACCACCTTGGGGCTGCTGCTATCCCTGGGCGACCTGCTGTTCTCACGGGGATCTCTAGTCAGTCTTACTGCAAAGCCACTGAGGAAACCTCTGGTCCCTCAAGGTTTTGTGGGGCACGGAAATGGAAGAGGAGAGGATCTGAATGAATTAAAAATTAATTAGAAAACAACCAGCCCACTTTTCAATAGCACTTGGCTTAGCGACCATCCGCATCCTTAGCAACTGCCCTGTGGAGCCTGACCTGGCTCTGGGGGCCCGTGGGGTGGCGAGGCTGTGACAGGAGAGGTTCAGGCAGAGCCTGGAGCTGGAAGTGACCCTGTTCTTCTCTGAAACTGGCTTATGCCAAGGCAAGACAACTCCCTGTACGGGGACACGGTGCAGCCAGGCAGAGCGAACCAGAGGGCCAAAGACAAACCTGGCCTTGCCCGGCCTGCCTGTTGTCTTCATCAGCCCTACCCCATCACT